ATAAATGGCTTCAACAAAAAGATATTAATATTGAGAATATCCCGCACTGTTATATTGCGCAAGATTCCAATCAGGATCAGTCTCAGGGGTTATTGGTTATAGAAGATATGGGTGAAGAGGCACATTCTTCATTGCTTTTTGATATTCTGGATTCTGAAGACTTGTCTCAGGTGCTTCTGAGTTCCTCGTTCCTAACAACAGATAATTTGAGCCAGATGTAGATTATCAACTATTTACTTTGAGCGTTTGGCAAAAGCTATTGTCGTGCGTAAGTTTCAGTACCATCCAGTAGGTTTTGATGAGTTGCACTCAGACAGCATTTTTATGATATTTAAATGTCTGTTGATTTTTTTGAGACTCAGCTCAGAAAATTTATCGAAATACTGTAATGTAGCCAGTTTCTAGGTATTCGATACGCTAGCAACTATACACGCCTATTCTTTGCAAACGAATTCTTGGAAGAAATTGCTGTCCTTTCCTATGGGTTCTTTCGCCAAGTACATTGATTCTATGAAGGTAAATGTGTCAGAAAGCAAGATTATGTCGGTTCTGCAGCCCTTTTAGCTCTGTTCGAGGTTCCCATCATCAACTTTTTAACTAACTAATCGGAATGAGTTCGAAATACTTGACTTCCTTTGCTGCTTCCGTAACAAAAGGTATTTTTCGAAATTCTTTTGAGTGAATGGCACGAACTGAAAATATAACATCTGTTTTGATGCGTTTTTGTTGTGCAGCTTTGTTGCGTTGCAGCTTGGCAGAAAGCAAATTGTGACGACCCATGGTGTTTCTGTGTGCGTGTGTGTGTGTGTACTTAGCTGTCTGTCTAGATATCTCGGGTATTTCAACTTTACGCCCAAGCAAGCTAGATGCTAAAATGCTTCGTGCCTAATTGCATCTCTAGAAGCAATAATATAAATATTCACACACATTTGCATCTAAAGTATAGACAGATGCAGGGGTTTGGCGGGAGAGGTACTAGGTCAGAAGCCAGAAAAATTATAGGGTTGAATTTTTCCTGGCCATATGTGATTTCGAAGAACTATTTTCAGCTTTAGCATGCGCCTACTTCTCACATGTATAGAGACACATAAGACTGAAATTGAGCAACTTCCAGTCCTGCGATTAGACAAGTTTTGTATCGCGATTCTTGGTCACGTCTTCGCCCATAACCATGTTGCAGGAACCAATTATTTTCAAGAAAAATTCTACTTCTACAATCAAAAAAAAAAAAAA